GTATACTTACTTAGGGCAAACTTTATACTTAATTTGATCTTCATCTGTTTTTAACCAATTTTCTAAATCGGTATGTTCAAAAACATGACCACAATCTCTTAGCATGACGTATATTGCCTCAGGTTCATCTTCATTTCCAAGAAATATTTCTGTCAATTCCTCCTCATTACAAATTTTGCACAATTTTGGACATAGATCGCCGCAGAAACCAACGCATTGATGACCACAACGGAGAGTTTTGGAACACCTAAAATTCAAAAAATGAACGGGGAAGGGTATGACTACTGCTTTTAGGATACAGTAGTATCTCTATACTATAGAGAGTCCGGCAATAGTGTCTCAGGCATCTGTATGTAGCTCCTAGACTAAAAGATTTTGTTGAAGTGCAAACCTAAAGTATGTACTAGGATGTATTTCAGGAAAATATTTTAGCTTCTACAGGGTGGCTCAAAAAGTGTTAGTGAATCGAGATGATTTTTTTTAAATGGAACACCCTGTATATTATTGCATTTTTGGCTTCCATTCAGATCACTTTACATAATCCTAAGATATGAGTAAATGTATTTCGATAGTTTCAGAAATGTTAATAAATAAATAAAAAATATATTTTTTCAGCCTTTCTTAAAAAAATATTAAAAATACCAGAACTGTCCTGAAATGAAAACTATATTAGGTATTTACTTTAGATGGTCTGAAGTTACTTTACTATAAATATGGTAATCGTAAATCATACAAAATGTTCAAAATTCTACGCCAAACGTTCTATAATATAAAATAATTTATCTTCGTTTTTTTAATGGAATAGCCTGTATATTATTTTCTCAATAGACGGAGAAATAAAAAATGAACATTTTTTGTGTTGTAGAGTGTTTCAAAATTGTTAACGGTTTCGCAGATATTCGCGGTTTTATATTTCATATTGCATTTTCCACACTAAATTTTTAACAAAGCCACCCAATGATTTTTCTCTTGCATTTTACCATTGAAAAAGCCATATAAAACAATACTGCGTGTATCTGCGAAACCATTAAAAATTTGAAATACTTTAAATCCAAAAAAGTTCATTTTTTAACTCTCCATCTAATAAAGCATTATTCTCAAAGTTAAGAAACTTAGGCAGCTGACAAGTGAAGAAACCTTAGATCTTATAAACGTCGGAAGAAACTTACAATATTATACCACATACTAATTTATACAGAACGACAAGTAATGCAAATGTGAGAATTATTGATATTTTTCAGTTAGACTTATTATATTAGAGAATTAAGAGCCCCAAATGATTCCAACCATAGACTTAAAATAAAATATGGACTACACTATTTACATCTACACGCGGTCAAACAATCATTTTTGTACACGTTTACTTCTGGGTACACTCGACCGCAGCCAAACCAAACAATTTTTTTTATAGATGGGAAACGCCTTTAGGGCACGGGCAGTCAAACCAAACAAAGCAAACTTTCCTCGTCCAGCCTATGTTGTCACGTCTTTACTATTATCAATATTTTGAGATATTAATACTGCATTTTAATAAAGTAGGTTTTAATATTCCATAGATATATTAAATAGTCCTTATACTACTTTATTATAAGTCGAATACTATGTAAAAAGGATAAATCCTTTACAATATGGCAACACCGATTAGAGGCGAGGTCGCCTATTCATTCTTCTATTATCTTGTAGTACCATCATAGGTCACAGTTAATTATATGTATATTGTATTGGTATAGGTGTGCTTATGTATCAATTTGCGAATCATAAATGCCCATATTATGAAATACACATAAAACATTTTTCATAATGAACATGTTTTTACTAGAAACATGCTTATTTTATTGTGTGCAATTTGTAGATAATATCATCAACACCTTTGACATCTGCTTTTACCTATTTGTATTGATTTTGGCACGGAAGCAAGATAAATGATCAAGAGTAAACACTATTGCCTTAACAAACGTCCATTATTCAGTGTGAGTTCATATAAATGGAATAAAAGGCACAGAATCCTCACAATCTATACAGAGTCGCTTTTATGTATGGAAATGGTCGATTATTAGGTAAAATATACAAAGTACCGCAAAAAGTTAAATACAAAAATTATAGCGTTTTTAAATGTCTATTGGCGAGTAATAAATTTATTTATACAGGGTCGGTTCTAAAGTCGTGGCACAACAAATTTTAATTTTTTTAAATAGAACTCCGTGTATATTATTGCATATTTCAATTCTTCCTTCAATTCTAAGCAAAAATCGAAATCCACATAATGTACTACAAACTAAACGTTTCCGAGTTATTGACTTTTGAACATATCACTTAAACAATTTGATTTAATTAATATCGATATGTTGAGTTTCATTTAATAATGTCATTCTGCCGAAACTGTGATACTGTTGTAATGGGGTTTCAAATACCTGTTAGCCACTAGTAAATTTAAGTATACAGGGTCGGTCGCGCATAAAGTCGTGGCACATCAATGTTTCATTTTTTTAATAGAACCCCCTGTATATTAATGCATATTTCAATTCTTCCTTCAGTTTTAAGCAATAATCGTAATACATAATGTACATAAATTGAAGAATTGAAATGTTAAACTTCAATTTTGAAATTTCCCCATATAACACAACACAATCCTATAGATATCTTGAGGATATCCACCAAGGATATAGTAAAATATCTTAGGCATATCCAAAAACCAGAGGAGGATATTTATGGGATATCCAGATGGGACAAAAAAGTCATCTTCAAGACATCCCTAGGCAAGCCTTTTACGATTATTTGGGATATTTATAGGATAATCCAAGGATGATGTTGGGAGCATTATAGAATATTTTTAGGACATTATATGACTTTTATTTGGCAATACTTACTTCATCCTTAGTATATAGTAAAAACGTTCGCGATTTAGTTTTATTTAGCCACATTTTGACGTCATTCATTGGATATTTTTATTAACAGCTCTAAAATATACCTACATATTATGTCAATGAATTTTGCGTCAAAATTTAGAAGTCTATTTGTATGAGTTAAGACCTTTCAATTTATACTGTACTATCGAAAAAAAAACGACGTTCAATTGGCAACAATTGGCTTGAAAATCAATTGGCGTACAATTGGCTTGAAAAATTACGATCGATGACATTCCCCATATAATTTTACATACAAAATAACAGCAATCTTCATTTCCAAGCCACCTCTGATGCCGTTTTTTTCGATGGTATGGTATATTATACCAGATTATACTACCCTTTATGGAGTCTAGCAGTTTATGTCTAGCAGCAACAGTTTACATCAAAGTTAGCACACAGGATACAGGTATAATTTCTAACACCACACATTCCAGAAACTCACAATTTAAACACAAAAATAGGATTTCTGTTTGAGTAGATCAAACACGAAAATGGGTTTAGGGATAAAGAACAAGCGCTTTTCAACAAATTTTCACCTATAATTTTGTCACAAATTTTTCATTGTGAGACCCTGAGTCGTTCGTCGTTTTTCGACATTAGTTGAGGTTAGGATAGAATTTCTGCTAGAACAAGGCTAGAACTATGAGTATAAGAAAAAACTAAGTCAAACTCAACCAGTTTTGTTAGTTTCAGTCATTTTTAAGCCCATCCAATATCGACAAACGACCGAATTCACCTAGAACTTCACTAAATCAAAGAACTTAATAATACACGATGCAAAAACAAACAACTATAGAGATGGATTGTGGAAAATTTTTTGCGCGGGCGTTTTAAATTCTCTGTATTACTGGGAGTGGCCAAGCTCATAAATATCCAGGTTAGATTCCAGAAGATACCAACAGATACCAGACAGATATCAACAGGATATTTTGTTGCCTTGACGTACTATATATCTATCTGTATGGTTTATTGCATTTTGTGTAATATAAAAAGTAGTACATTATTTATTTTTCCTAAATATCTAGAGGATATCGTTAGGATATTTTATTATCATGAGCATGTTTGAATATCTCAGCTGGATGTACATTAGATATACGACAGAGATATCCATAGGATATTCTATTCTGAGACATCTACAGGATTTCGGGATGTCTGGAGGATATCCTATAGATGTCTTTATAAGATGATCTTATAATGGGACTTTCCGACATTCTATGAATATCCTGCGGATATTGTGTGTTATATGGGTCCAGACTTGATATAATCTCATTTTATACATCTATAAAAACTTGAGAACTAATGTCAAATATTATCAAGTATCACAGTTTCAGCAGAATGGCATTAATAAATGAAACTGAACATATCGAAATTAATTAAATGAAATTGTTGAAGTGATATTTTCAAAACTCAATAACTCGGAAACGGTTGGTTTGAGGTACATTGTGTGTATATCGATCTTTGCTTGAATTGACTGAAAAATTGAAATATGTAATAATATACAGGGAGTTCTATTTAAAAATATAAAGCTTTGATGTGCCACGACTTTATGACCGACCCTGTATTCATGAATTTATTACTTGCTGATAGATATTTAAAAATCCTATAACTTTTGTATTTAAACTTTTTGCGGTACCTCCCATATTTTACCTAATAATCGACTGTTTCCATACATAACAGCGACCCTGTATATCTATCTTGTTTTTCTCCTCTCTTACCTATTTTTAACTGTTCTTCTTAACAGTCAAAACTATACCAACAAAGTTTCTAAATAAACCGAAGTAGCTGTATATAATTATCAATAAATTGTGGTGCCGAAAACAATGTATTTATGAAAAATATGCAATGAGTTTTGGTCCAAATCATGAATTTTTTGAATATGAGCTTCTTTAGGGTTCACTTAAAATCCCTTTTGAACGAATTTCAGAGTCATTCAAGAGTTATTAAGAAAATATTGTCGTTTTGGTAATTTTTACTTTTTTTTCGTTTTTCTTTCTCACTACGGAAGAAGTTGGTACCTAGAGTTTTTCTGATATTAGTTATGTACTGGCACTAGCAAGTGTTAACAGAAAATAAGGATAAAATAAAACCATTCACTTAAAGTCATTATTTATTTTACCAAATAAATGATAGTAATTCACACAAGATATTTTAGTTCAAAAATATAAAACTATATCTTAAAAAAGTGACTATGTGTATCGTTAAAATTAAAACTGTTTTAAATTACGTTACTTTAGAATACAACACAATTCCTTTGGCGTTCTCCAGCTATCACAAAAAGAAACATAAGTATTAAGAAAAGCTGTATTCTCACATCTTAAAAGTGTATATACCTAATACTAACGAAACAAGACAAGAGACAGACATACAAACATTAAAAAAATAACAGCCATATAATGGCTACTGTAATAACAAATTTATATGTTTTACCTGTTTGTACAAAAATATACAATAAGTGCGTCGAGTATTTACAATATTTACAAACTTGAGAGATCAGCTAAAGAATGAATCAAAAAAAATAAAGGATTGAATTCACACTGCTACAATTTTACTGGGGTCTATTTTAACTCTAATAAATACAGTGTCGTCTTTCATAAAATGTCTTTTCTTGAGCATTTCGTGGGAGACGAATTTGGGAAAGCCGAACCCTAGGGAATCGGGTTCCTTACTGGGCCGCTGGAAGTTTTTCCACGTCGGGTCTGGAATGAAGCTTTCGACAATGTTGCAGGCTTTTTCCGGACAGGTGGACTGGTCGAATAAGGTGAACGAGACGGAATGGGCGAAGGGCCATCTTAGCAAACCATCGTATTCGCCGGGCAGGATTTTGATATAAACCGATATGTGGCTATCTTCGCCTGCTCCATTTCCATTGGGAAACAGCGATGCCTGAAAAAAGAAAAGTTCTAATGTAAGTACTTTTATGACAACATTAAATCGATCATTAACTAAGCTATGGCTTTGTTAGTAGTTGAATGATCACATGAGCAATTTAAAATAGGAAATTTGCGGTAAATAAATCTGAATAAATAACTACACTCACGGGCACGAAAACGGTCATTTTCATGTATTTTAAAGTTTTATACAGGGTTGTTCACCACATACGACACGGAGTATTGTAGCTAAACGATTAGATTTTTACAAATTGTAAGTTTTGGGTTCGTTGAAGGTCTATTATAGCTACAATTTAAAAATATTTATACAAGATACAGAGTGTCCCAAATAAGTAAAAAATATTATAGTTGTATTTATTTAAATGGAACACCCTGTATATTATTCTATTTTTGGATCCTACGATTGAAATAAAGGTAAATTTGATTAAGGTTTATCACACTTAAACGTTACGGTTTTTGAAATATTTTCAATTTTATAAAATTGCAGTAAAAAATTTAAGGCTTTATTTCTCCAAGGATATCGAAGTTTTTAATACTAAATATTTACTGAAGATTATTTATTGATCAGATATTGTGTTGCAATAATAAAAATTTTACTACCTTATACAGAGTGTCCAAAAATTTATATTAAGTAATTACTAGCTTTAAACGGCAATAATTTATTTAATTTAAACGGAACACCCTATATATTTTACGTGAATCAGATGCACAATGTAATTGTCTATCAAATTGTATTGTTCCATTTTTTACCCATCTCTTCCAAGAGAAAAAGTTTTCATAGAAAATGCATTTTCTTATAATTTAGACCTCATTTATCACTATACCCATGGAACATTGACATTTTAGCTTATTTTTAAAAATGTAACAAATTTTCAAAGGGTACAGATACTAATATTGTTGATATAGTTCGCTTATTTAATTAAAAAATAAAAAAAAACTGTTTAAATATTTTCTGTTAAAGAGGACCAATTAATATGATCCCAGTATTCAAACTACATTAATTGACTGTTTACGTTGTAGTAATAATTGCTCCAAATACTAAAAAACTGAATTTTGTGTGTGTATTAGACTGTGTGGTAAAAAGTAACACCTTATAAATTTTATTTCATTTATTGACGAATGCTTATTTATAAAACCAAAGACATTCAATTTTATATCTTATTATTATATTGATTTCTGAGCCAAATCCACATTTATTTAGAATATTTTATCAATTAAAACAATTTAAAAGAATGTAATTAACTAATTTTTGGTATTTTTGGTAGGAAATAATGGTGGTATATTTAATTGGCACACACTTTTACAAAGATTTAAATAGTTTTTTTGTATGCCAATGGGCTTGCAATATTTACCACCTGTACAATTTGTACATATTATGGTGCTATAAAAAAATCTGAAATGTCAATATTCCATGGGTATAGTGATAAATGAGGTCTAAATTATAAGAAAATGCATTTTCTACGAAAACTTGAAGAGATGGGCAAAAAATGGTATAATACAATTTGATAGACAATTATATTGTGCATCTGATTCACGTAAAATATTTGTGTTCCATTTAAATTAAACAAGTTATTGCCGTTTAAAGCTAGTAATTATTTAATATAAATTTTTGGACACTCAGTACTAAAAACTTTGATACCCTGGGAGAAATAAAGCCTTAACTTTTTTACTGCAATTTCATAAAATTGAAAATATTTCAAAAACTGTAAGGTTTAAGTGTGATAACCCTTAATCAAATTTACCTTTATTTCAATCGTAGAATCCAAAAATAGAATAATATACAGGGTGTTCCATTTAAAAAAATACAACTATAATATTTTTTACTTATTTGGGACACTCTGTATCTTGTAAAAATATTTTTAAATTGTAGCTCTAATAGACCTTCAACGAACTCAAAACTTACAATTTGTAAAAATCTAATCGTTTAGCTACAATACTCCGTGGCGTATGTGGTGAACAACCCTGTATATTGTGTTCTAGTGGACCGATTTTGATAATTTTTTACAGTATTATATTCAAATATTCAGAGTAGTGATGAGAAAAACCGATTAATTTCAATAATCGAGTACTCGAGTTTCAAGCGATGTCAATAACCGAGTGATCGCTCGAGCGAAATATCACTCGTATTTAAAAATACGGTTTTCACCCGTCGCCGTCGCTTGTTGTAAGTACTCGTTAACGCTAAGCGCCAAGCAGTAAGTTGCGTGCGCAGGGCACATATTCTTTCGGTGATGAATGGCAAGTAGCAAGCGGCGAGCGGTTCGCTTGATTTAGTTTATTTCGAAGCATTGTCGATGTAGGCCGTAAAATGTTGTCCCTCAGATACGCAATGGATAAATATATACATATACGGCGTCGTATAAATTTGCTACCCAATGTAGAAAATTCGCTAGTGTTATCCCATCACTAATAATTCATAGTACTGACAAGATTAGTGTATACAGGGTGGTCCGAAGTGTATTCCGGAAACTTCGGCCCCCTATTCTGCAGATAAAAATAAGTAAAAAAGTTTGTATAAATGTTTGTCCTAAAATGCTTAGTTTCGGAGATACAGGGTGTAGAAGTTTCATTTTGATTTCGATTTTTTCCAAATAATTTCTGAAGTAACGTCACAATTTGGATGACAATCAGTGTCTGGGAGTTTTTTGAAATGAGAAATTTTATTTTGATGATAATATGACTCCTAAACTACTGAGTAAAAAAATATAAATTTACGGTGTTTTTACGTAAAAAAGGTCTCTTGGTAAAGATCACTACGAGTAATATCTGTAATCTCGAGATAATTGGAATCGAAATTATCAATACCTGTCATCATTTACATAAATAATTAAACATGTCGAATAAATAGTTATTTTTTTGTTTCGTTTCTTTGACCTGTATACTATATATTTTTTGTTTTTACTCTTGGCTTTAGGTCGTTGGGGTTGCAAAGATGTTTCTAGATTTTGTTCATTATTTTTTTATTTTATGACGACGTTTCGACAGTATATGTCTTTTTCAAGCCTCTTGAACGTAGATTCTTACAGAGTTAAAATTTGTTAAAACTGGACAACACAATAACACATATTAACTATTGTTTTAATTGTTTTTGGACATCACACTTTACTATAGAGCACGTACGTATTTCCTAGCAGATCGCTCTGTATAAAACACATTTATCATTTCAATACCCGATGTCTACTGAGAGGCTTGAAAAAGACATATTCAAGACTTTTCAAGAGGCTTGAAAAAGACATATACTGTCGAAACGTCGTCATAAAATAAAAAAATAATGAACAAAATCTAGAAACATCTTTGCAACCCCAACGACCTAAAGCCAAGAGTAAAAACAAAAAATAAATAGTTATTAGACTTAAATCATAAATTTGATATGTTTCTGTGTCAAAGGTTCAACAGAAACTGTTTTATCATCATTTTAATTTAAAAATATAAAAAGTTCTCAAATTTATAATTTTAATCAAATAACTATCTATAGTGGATAGCTTTAAGCCTTTACGAGATACAAACCTCGGAATTAATTTACTGTGAACGAATTTTTATAAAACTTTTTGCATTGTATTGTTAAGAAGATATATTACAAAATTTACCTATTTAAATTCGTTGCTTTCACTTTAGTATTTAAATAAACACACACATATACAAATGCATACATACAAGATGGCTTAATGGTAGTTCACATTTCAAAACTATTTTTATAGATATACAGGGTGAGTCAAATATATATTATTTATTTATTCGAGTTTAGTGAATTTGCTACAAAATTCTGGTTCCAAAAATACCTTAATACCATAGAGTATATTAAATGGTCTTTGAATTATGACCGTCCTCATGGACGTGGTCATGGTCATGACCGTCCTCATGGACGTCAATATAGACGTCCAGGAACCTTCGTATGAGAACTTCTAATCGAGACGATCGACTTATTGTAAGTTTATCGCTAAGAAATCGCTGTTTGCCAGCTTTTCAAATTGATAATGAATTGCACTTAAGAACCGTACATATTAACTAACGGACTACAAGAAGAAGATTAAATGAAGCAAATCTTATGTCAAGAAGGACTGCTTCGGGACCAGAACTTACTAGATGTGTTGACTAGGCCCAAAAGCAAAGGCATGGTCTTAATGTAAAAATTACGAAAAATGTTAGTGCCTTCTTTAAAACCGAATATTTCCAACAAAAATAAAGCTAATGAGATGAACCAAAAGCAAACCATCGAGAAAGGATGTATCTAGATGATAAAATAATTTTTAAATTTCTTGCTGTTTTAACATATTTCACAGGGTGTTTCAAACTTTCATCAAAAATAACAACATTTTGTTTTCCCTCGTATAATTAACAGATGGGGAGTTTCATTTCTAATTTAGAAAAGGATACTAAGAAGTCAAATAATTTGGCAACACGCTTAAAAAATCATCAAAATCGGACCATTAAAATAAAATATATTAACCTTTAAAATACATCAAAGTTTTAAGGTGCCCATTTTTCGTGCCGTTGAATGTATTTCAAAAACTATACATTTTAGTCATATAATTTTCTAATGAAACAAACCTTTATTTTTTTACTAGAATCCAAAAATCAATTTATATATAGGGTGTTCCATTACAAAAAACATAACTTTGATGTGTAACTTTTTTTGGGGACACCCTGTAGAACTCTACATAGTTCTAAAAAATACTTTAAATTGATTTACATAAGCTCAGAAAATTTCACTTCAATACAAACTTTTGTTCTCCTTGCAAAAGCCGCGTCGCATATGACGCGCCACCCTGTATAATTCGATTTCAATCAAAATTTCAATGATTAGAATATAAGCTGAATATGTGTATAATATGCATTAGATTTATTTATTTCAATAAATTTACTTAGAAAAAGAATTAGAAAAATCAAAATATTAAGAAGGAAATAATTAAGAATTTACTAAAATTACTAAAATAAAAAATTAAAAGCAACGAAAAAAAATGGGTAAACATTTTAGTATTTTATCTATAAAACACAATACAGAAGGTTTCATATTAATACATTCACAGTAATTGAATTCCGAGGTAAAAGTCTCTGGGCACTCCACTACTACTCAACATGTTTATTTTTTGTCAATAATGACATGCATTGATTATTTCTATTCTAAATATCTTGAGAACGGTTGGTCGTAGCGATTTTTACCAAGAGACATTTTATACGTAAAAAATTACAGAAATATATATCTTCTCACTCAGTAGTTTTATACAGGTACGGACGAAAAGTTATTAATGACTAAAGAATATAAGGACATGTAACGCCAATTACGGGCTGCAGCAGAATGTGTGACCTTAGACGCCTTTTTTTGGTGGCAAACAATGAGTCATCAGCTGGTCACCAGCGACAATTTTAGCAATTTTTAATAGTTTGTGTGTAGTGAACTTTGTATAAACTTTATTACAATGCTGATTAGTTGTTCAGCTTTCAAATCTAAAAACAGCAGCGACAAGGAAGAGCCAGGAGTTACGTTTCATAGGTAAATAAACAGTCCGCTCCACCTTTTTAGCGTTTTCTTAAGTTTTCTTATTGAATTCGATAATTATTTTTCTGATATTATATGTACTTCATGTGTGCTATATGTCGATACTAGTTTTGTACCTTTTGTTAACATTTTAATACATTTTTTTCGTAATTAATTAGTATGATGCCACCGCCTACATCATAAGCGTAGTCAAAACATTTATCTAAAATATAAATATCCCTTCAACTAGCTAAGTTAAGAAAAAAATATGGCCACGGCACTGTTTGGTGCCATGGTAACAATTTACTCTCGGGTGTTATTTGTCCTTGAATTCTTTAGTCATTGGTTATTACTCTTCAAAACAATTAAAACACATGTAGGTGGCGTCTCCTACAAATAGGAGTCATATTGACATAAAAATCAAATTTTTCACGTCAAAAAACTCCCAAGCACTAATTTTCATCCAAATATTGACGTTACTTTGAGAGAAAAGTTATTTGGACAGAAATTATTTGGAAATAATCGAAACAAAAATGAAACTTCTACACCTTATTTACTTATTTTTATTTGCAGAATATGCTGCCTAAGTTTCCGGAATACAGTTCGGACCACCCTGTATAATACTGCCAGAAACTTTCTAATAATTGCAAGTAACTTGAAAAATCAATAGAGAAGCCAATATTTGGACAGTTCAAAATATGCATGAGATTTCCTATATTTCCAATGCCGATGACTGCCCAACTAGAATAGAGAACAGTTGGCAACCCTTATATCAAAGGTTAAAAATTTATTAAAATATTTATATACCTGTAATTTATATCCGTATTGACTAGTGTAAAATGGAGGTGAAACCAATTCCATCCCTTCTTTGGTTTTTGCTTCTGCTACTTTATTCGAGAATTCACTGATTTTCCATATCAAGGTTCCCGAATAGTTCAGCGATAATCTGGACAAGGCGCTCTTCAACGAAGTTATTTGGTGCTGTTGTTTGGATACCACGCTGCACATCAACTGCAAATGTTGTTGGCAGTTCTCTTCCAGATGTTTCTCCATGGCAAACCGTGGACCTTTAAATCTACAACCCGCTTCTTTAAACGAACAACTGTGAACAGAGATGGTACATTCTTCCTTCAGGTGACTCTCTAATTCTTCTCTGGCCAAAACGTTAACGTCGCATCGATTAGGGCACTGAATTGGTACTCTGCCGCATTTTAAATGGTGCGCGGTTAAAGTATCAGCTACGAATTCTTTGGTACAATATCTGCAGGGTAGAAGTCTTTTGGAGCAATCGGACGCTTTGTGCTGGCTCAAGTGTCTCCTGTGAATTTTCACACCGCATTTGTTCTCGCAGTAGAGGGGTTCGTAGCCACAGTTACCTACGTGATTCTGAAAAGAAAATATTGCGATAAAAATATATGTCTAAAAGAAAGTTCAAACTGAAATGTGGCATCAGTAGTTAAAAGGTTCTTGATATAATTATGTCAAAAGACATTAGGTTTAGAATCAGTGTTTTTTAAGAACACATAGAAATAAACTATTCTCTTGAATTCAAAAGTATCGGTATCTAAACTCTTTGAAGTTATAACAAAACACTTTATCATCCATTTAAGTGTACGTCATTAAATGAAGTAAGCGATATCTCTGTTAAGTATCTTGTCCGCTTGTAGTTTTTACTATCGAGACTAATTTCCGAAATTTTTGCAGCAAGATGGGCAAGTAATACGTGGTAATACCTATACAGGGTTCGGCAATAGTGCGTCGGGCATCTGTAGCTCCTAGAATAAAGAACTTGGGAATTTTGTTTTGTGTGCAAACCTAAAGTATGTGCTAGGATGTATTTCAGGAAAATATTTTAACTTCTAGAGGGTGGTTCAAAAAAGTGTGAGTGGATCGGGATAATTTTTTTTAATGGAACACCCTGTATATTATTGCATTTGTGGTTTCCTTTCTGGCCACTTTACATAATCCTATGAGTAAATATATTTCAATAGTTTTAGAGATATTAGTAAATATAAAAAATATATATTTTTGAGCCTTTCTTAAAAAAATATTAAAAATACAAGAACTGTCATATGACATCTTCCAGAGTAAATTTTTATCAAAGCCACCCAATGATTTTTCTCTGGTATTTTACCGTTGAAAAATAATAGTGTGCGTATCTGCAAAACTATCAAAAATTATGAAATACTTTAAATACAAAAAATGTTCATTTTTTAATTCTACATCCAATAAAAACTAATATACAGGGTGTTCCATTTGAAAAAACAAATAAAAATTATTTCACATTTTAGAAAGTTTGGCGTAGAATTTTGAACATCCTGTATGATTGAAGATTACTATATTTATAGCAAAGTAAGTAGGATTATATTTTAAGATTATATAAAATGATCTGAAAGGAAGATGATCTGAAAATGCAATAACATACAGGGTGTTCCATTTAAAAAAATCATCACGATCCACTCACACTTTTTTGAGCCACCCTATAGAAGTTAAAATATTTTCCTGAAATACATCCTCATACATACTTTAGGTTTACATTTAAATAAAATTCCCAATTTTTTTCTATGATCTACAGATGCCCGACGCACTATTGCCGGACCCTGTATACGTCAAGAAAAATTAGCATGTTGCTTTCAGGATATTTAAAGTAATGAATGTGTAAAAATGAGGTTTCTGGTATAATTTTGAAAAATTTTATTTGAAAAAGTTATTTCTTATAGAAAAGGGTGTTCCTATAGAAAAGGGTGTTTCAAAAGAAACACCCTTTTCTATAGGAGATAGACAAAAACTAATATCGGTGTCTGGAGCTCAATTTTTGTCAAAAACATGATGGCATATCGATATCTGTTACCGTTTCGAAGTTACGGGGTGTTTTTCAAAAATATGCATTTTTAACAAATCGCTGTAACTTTTTTGCTATGGAAAATTTTGTATTTTTATGAAAACATTTCCAAAGCACCTTTTTACGTAGAATTTAATGGTTTAAGTATATTTTTTTTTAAATTAATAATTTAAGAATTATCAACAGAAAATTTGATTTTTTATATGGGACACCCTGTATATTTTTAATTTATTGAAAAGAATTTAAAATTACCTTTTCAAAAATATAACATACTTGATATTTTGCTCGATTCCTCTTCGAGATATAGAGTATATAAAAATTCGCCCGCTTTAAATAAGTAGGCTTTGAACGGCACAGGCTGTAATGCAAAAAAAATCTAGCTGTGAGCATCAATTAAAACGAAAATAATATTTGCTATGAGAGATGCAGAATTTTATAACAATTTAAAATATATTTAACCCACATCAACACATTTAAACTATATCTAATAACAATAAAAATAAATAGCAAACCAAGACATGAGATTTTGCTACAGGTGTTCGACATATCGACAGTCTTCTGTTATGGACAGACGGGGCAGTTTTTGAAAATTTCTCGCAGAATTCATAAACTTAGTGGGGGTGAAAGATACCCTCTTATAACTGCTAAGTATTTTTAATTTTTGTCTAGATTATACGGAAGAATAAGGAACCTTTATTCTTTCGCAAATATATCCATAGAATTAGATCTATGGGCACTAAGTCAGGTGGCGTCGACGGCCAACGGCTGAGATCTTGGTTAGCTATCCAATTATTCTTGAAATTGGCTGCAAAAATTTGCTGATAACTTCAACGTTCAGAGGCGGTGCGTTGTTTTGCTGGAAAAATATGTTTTCAAGTTCCATTAAGGGAATATCATCAATAAGGGGTCCAAAGCCTACTAGTTAAAAGTGGCGAACTTTTAAAAATTCTATATTTCGAAGGCGATTATAATAAAATATCAAGTGTGCTATATTTTTGGAAAAGTAATTTTAAATTATTTTCGGTTAATTAAATATATAGAGGGTGTCCCAAATAAAAAATCATTTTTTCTCTTGATAACTCTTAAATTATTAATTTTAAAAAAAATATACTTTAACCATTAAGTTCTACGTAAAAAGGTGCTTTGGAAATGTTTTCATAGAAATACAAAATTTTCCATAGCAAAAAAGTTACAGCATTTGTTAAAAATGCACATTTTTGAAAAACACCCGTAACTCCGAAACGGTAACAGATATTGATGTGCGGTTTTCACCATCATGTTTTTGATGAAAATTGAGCTCCAGACACCAATATTAGTTTTCGTCTATCTCCTATAGAAAAGGGTGTTTCCATTTAAAAGCGTCGAATTTGACCCACACTGTACATAATTTTCAGCCATCTAGATAAAAAAATTGTCATTTTTAACAGAAGCTGATTCTCGTGGTGGAACTAAAAATATCTGATGGCAGTTCGTTTGTAAGCCAAATATACAGGGAGAGTCTTAAATAAGTCCACGTTTTACGCTTTTCAAATAAATCCAAAATAACCGAGTTATTTTACTTTGAAAATTTCCAAAAAAAATAATTTTTTGCTTTAATTTTGAGAACCACTGGATCTTTTGTGGATTTTCTTTCTTATAAATTTAATCTACTACCTATGTTGCCATATTATCAAGAAATTATATTTTTTTACTAAAAACTAAAAAAAATCTAAAAATTTTCCAAAAATTCAAAATTTTGAAATTTATTTTTTCGCGAAAAAAAACTCATAATCGTGTTTGTGGGGGGGGGGGGTCGAAATATACGACCCCTAAAAACATTTGCACTTATTTAAGACTCACCCTGTATATCCAGTTAAATTTATTGAATCAATTAATAGTTTTACAAACATTAGACTCCAGTGATGCAAAGTATGAATAACTACCCCACCTATCGAGATGGCATTATGAAATTCATGTTTATACATGTTGGGAACTTATTCAAAAACACTATAACTAGATGACAAAATGTATGGTTTTTAGCCTACTCATAAAATTATTTGTTATATGTTACATGATCCCTGACTAAATTAAAATGAAAAGGTATTATAAATCATTGTTTAAATAATATACTACTATCACGGGCTTGATTTTCAAAGAAAGTATAAACCTATACTGAGTAATAATTAAAGACAAAAAACTTGAATGATACCATCTCGATACATGAAAGACATACGAATTAAAAAAATTGGCGCCGGGAGGCACGTACAGTCGCCCATACTTGATATTTTTTTTTATCTCAAAAACTGCGACTTTGACTGATTTTGATGTTATTACAAATTTTGTGCAAATATTATTCCTAATCTTAAATTGAAAACCGCGTTTCGCTAGCTACTGTAATTTTGGAGTTACGATTTTTTAAAATTTTTAACCCCCTCCCATATCCCCTTACCAACCCCCCACCCCCACCAAAACTAATGGCCAGATTCTCGGGTGTCACAGTATTTTTGTGCCAAATTTGGTTAAAATCGGCTTAGCGGTTTTTGAGTTATCGTGTAAGACGGACAGACAGACGGACAGACGGACAGACAGACAGACAGACACTATAAAAATATTTTGTATTTAGGTCATTTATGACCCAAATAACTCATTTTGAGTGAAATTATTAAAAGTTTGCATCACGAACCCCAATTTTTTTTCTGCAAAATTTAACTTTTCATAGAGAACTATTAATTGACGCAATACATTTAACTCAATATATGAGTAGGTACTGGATAAATATCAGGCTAACAAACAAGCTTCTATCAGTAAAGTTTTAAAAATAAATATTTATTTTGTTATATTAAATATTTTTATTTGAACTTACCTCTAATGTATGGCCAGTAAATTCCTTATTGCAAAATTCACACCTGGTTCTTCGTTGAGGACACGTGTATTTTAGATGATCCTCCATTAGAACTCTCGGAATCTGAGCTCCACACTTGCTGGTACATGGAATTGCGTCATGTTTACAAGTGTTCAGGTGGCCCTAAAATAAAGAAATATATAATTAAAAATATAAAAGTCTTGGTACTTTTTTTAATTTAAACTATTAATTTTTACTAATAATTTTGTCATATACAAAGGAAAGCCGCTTATTTGATGCGTTGATTAAGTTAATATTACTTTTGGTAAAATTTGTAAATTTGCATTTTTATATTAATATAACGGTTAGATTGACACTTAACGTAAAACTATATTTCATTATAATTCCAATAATAAAGCAAAATAAAGTGTTTTGCTTCTTATTTTGTTGGAAAAAGCCTTAATTTTTTTAGTGACACACTTGCATCTCAATTGCAGTTAAGGCGTTTTCATCCTCAGATCATTTTCTTCCGATTTCAAATAATACACAGTTAAAGTAAGGCACAATACGTATACGTATCTCTCGACACGTAACGCAGATACCTACGTTACGTATGCCGTTGCGTTGTCGTGTAATCAAGAGTTAAAGCAAGTATTTTGACGTACGTAAAGCAAATGGTACATTTGTAAGTCTAAATTATTATGTGAAACAATTTATTTAATTTTAAAACTGAAAATGGATATCTATTATTCCACTGATTCCACATTAAATTTATAAAAGTAATATCGAGAAATGAAGAAAATTATAAATGGAAATTATTTTATTACAGAAAGTAGTCCTTACAACTTAAAATGCTCTTAGTAATAAAAAATATTGGAAAACAGACACAGTTTTATGATTAGTTATTAGATTCCATCATTATTCATCCATATGGATTTTGGCTAAGAACTAGCATTTAATTAAATAGATTCCAAAATTAGTTTATTATGATGCTTAATATTTTCATACTAATTTATTGTAATAACATATTTTATAATTTGTACACAAAATTTATGAAATAATTACATTACTAGCCAGTTGTTGAAACGAGTTGTTTGTGAATTTGTACGTTCGGCATCATTCGGATGAAAATCGAAACTCCTTCGATACGTTTGCGTTTTGTACGTACGTAAAGGCACGTAAAGATACGTAGTATCCGTAAACGCAAGTGAATTTCTCATTGCGCAAGCGTATTGTCAAACGATACGTTTACGGCTACGTCTTTGGCCGTGCTTTAACTGTCTAATATATAGTTTTTCTTTTTCCGCAATGACATTCTTTGTACACAACCCGATCTTCTAACCACTTTATGCAATCTCATAAAAAATATTTATATGTCAACATTGTCCTCGAACTTTTTTTCACGTTGATTTTATATAAGTCAATATATGAATGTGAATGCCTACCTTTAATTTCCTTAATTCGTCTGACCATTTGCATCCTTCTTTGTGATGAATGCAGTACACTACTGAACTCATAATAGCCTTCTCCGACTCAGGATCAGAATAAATCTGCAACAAAAATGAAAACAATAAATTTAGGAAACGTCTAGCATATGTGTCTTGAAAAAAGGTATAGCCATTTTCTTACATATTATAATAAAAAACTAAGCTCAAAATAAATATGTATTTTATTATCGAAATAACTGTTTTTAATACCGTATGATCTAAAAAAAGGGCGTTCAGTTGGCTGGAAAATGAAGATCGATGACATTTCCCATATAAATTTACAGCGATCTTCATTTCATAGCCATCGCTAACGCTGTTTTTTTTTTTCGATCATACGGTACATAGCTAATCAAATTAGGCATCCAAAAATATATATTTTTAGTGCAGGAATAAAGAATAGCAAATGGGAGTAGAAGAACATAAATGAAATATTTATGGTGTAATTATCGTAATTATATCTAAATAACAATATCTTAATTTTTCACCCCCTAACAAATATTTAAGATAATTATTAGTGTAGATGTTGATAAGTAAGTGTGCCCAGTAAGAGAAGAGGGTATTTAGACAGACTACAGCCGAAACTTGTTAAAAAAAATTGTGTGTGCACTATGTGCGCAGATTTGAAGTGAAACTTCTTACTAGCAGCTATTAAATTGAAGGATTCGAATGATATATATTTTTTATGGATGCTTTTTATAAACTGATATAGATAAAAAAAATTAGAGTAATAGGTATAAAACCGTATACTATTCTAGCTTTATAATTTTATAATATTTTTTTAATTTTTATTAAAAACGAAATTCTATTACCCGGCCGAATAGCTGTGACCATTAAACCAAAATACTACTACATCTATATCTCTGACTACAACTAAATCCTACTAATCAACAATTTGTTTTGTGTGGTCTGTTTATATTTAAATGTTTTGTTCATTGTTCATATTGGGGAATTATTTTTAAATTACTGTTAATTCGTTAGGCAACCAGTAAATTCATAGAATATGCATTTCTTTTGCAGAATCAAAATTTTCACTCTAAATTTTACATAACCCAACTGTCACTCTAAATCGCTGTTTTTTAGACAGATGTCACTTGTCTTGTCATTATTCAATTCATTATTCGAATTCTCAGAATGTTGTTAACAAAAGTTTCATCTTAAAATAAAATGTTAATCAATCACAATTGTTTATCTCCATCATTTACCGGATTAATAATACATAAATTACAGCTCACTTACAAGCAATTCCTAATTTATAGTGATTTGCAGTAATTTTATTAAATTATACAAATATTCTCGTTCATTATTGGTTTGAAATAAATTTGACAGTGTCCTTCAGTGAAAATGCGAGTTACTAACTCTAAATTCTAATTCTGAGCTGGTAAATGAGCTAGATGCTTTACCTAGACCGTTATTCAGAAGCTACAAACCTATCGATGAAAATATGCATGAAATCAAGGTTGGTACAAATTAAAGTTAACTAACTAACTTTTAAGGTATAAATGTCTGTAAGTGTTGTTATTAATAAAATATTTTGTTTTATTTATGTTGTGTTTTATTTATTCCTTTGCAATATTATTTTTTTTATTTGTACATAAGTTATATTGACAAATGTAATAATAAATGCAAAAAGTTTGGTTTGGCTTGAGCTTTAAAGTAAGAAATAGTTCTTATTTATATATTTTTGTATGTGGTGTTTTGTTTAAAATACACCCTTGTTTGTTTTGTATTAACACATACTGTTATTTAAAATAAAATAACTCGATTAGATTTTTTCAGTTTCATACAGTTTTTTTTCATATTTTGAAATTAATCATTTGTCACTCAAATTTTAAATATATTAATTTCCTGCTAAGTGTTACAATTGTACCAACTTATTCCTTTGTAAAATAAAATAAACTGCTTTGAAATTAAAATGACAGGCACATCTATCACTATCAAGAATTTTGTTGTTGGACAGACTATACATGTATATGTATATACACGGTTCTTTTCATAATTTAAATAAAATGGGCCCACCGTACGTGTAGGCTAAAAACTGAAAAATTATTTTGACGATTACACCAACGAATTGAATCAGAAATAGAATTTAGAATAACAGGCAACTGTTACTAACGTCATTAATATCTTTAGCTAGACAAACTATACAATTTTATGGAGTGCATCAGTTTTGTAACAATTCTAAAGAAACGCATACTTGTTAACTCATTGCAATCAAACCGAAAACAGCTTTCTTCGATTGTTAAAATTATCAACTTTGCCGACTTTAAACCGTTTTATATGTTGGGCCCCGGCCGTAGATAAAATGCGTCAGATAATGAACCGGTCTATTAGTACCGGATGTGATTTTTCATTCGCTTCCCAGTACTCATTATTCAGTCCGGTTAGTGAAGTCAATTACTGTACTTAATTCGATAAGGCAGCTATTAAGATTGCGTTTTTATATGCATCTGTTTTGACAATTCAGTGACAAAGACAAAGAATGTTCTATCTTAAGTTTTTATTTCCTACCGTGTATTGCTTTTATCTTGTATACATTGTAGGAAACATAAAATGAAATACGCAGCGAAAATTGTTTTCTTCGTGATTTTTTAAGCTTAGAGAAAATATAACTCAAAATTAAATATAATAAAAAAAGCAGTATAAATTTGCACCTATACAAATTGGCACATGAGTCCAAGCAGAAAATCGCCAAAACCAATTATACAGGGTGGCTCCTCTCATACGCCGCGGAGGCTCAAAGGAGAACGACAGTTTATATTGAAATGAAATTTTGTGAGCATATGTAAGTTAATTCAGAGCACTTTTTAAAAATATAGAGAGTTCTCAACAGTCCCCCAAAAAAGTTACATATCAAAGTTGTTTTTTTTTGTAATCGAACACCCTATATATTAATTGATTTTCGGTTTCTGGGAAAAAAATAAAGGTGAGTTTTATAAGAGAAGTATATGACTAAAATGTAAGGTTTTTGACATATTTAACATTTTCTGAAAATAAAGAACACAATTTTAAATTACAATAAAAGCTACCTAAATTGGAATTTATAGGTATAGCCTAATATGTAGTTCAATTAACTATTGTACTTTAAATCAAATTAAAACTTGATCCAAAAAGTTATATAGGGTGAAACAAAATTGGTCAGCTTTAAAAGCATGTTACTCTTTTATTTTAAATGGAACACCCAGTATATTATTCCGATATTCAATGGAGAATTCATGTCTCTTCAAAATACTATTAAGATTGCCTACCCCTCAAATAAAGATTCTCTAGACTAAGTAGAGAGATCTTTATTATTTGATAAAATTTAGGGGGTTGTGATATATGTCTGACGTTACTTCAACATAGCTGTCTAATTAGTCCATCTTTAACAACTAGTTATCATTTTGTGTCAGATAAAACAAAAAAAATTCTCAGAAATTTGCCGAAAATGCAAACTTATCCTACATCAGAGAGAATTGATTTGATTCTATTAGTTGGGGAATGCAGTGTATAATTACAGAATGTATTACACACAACATATAATTAATATAATTCTTAAATGGTCCTGATTTTATCTACTTTGGTTTTTTTTGGTTATGTCTCTTTTGGTTATTCCCAGCATATTTCGTTCCATTGAGCGTTGTGCGACCTGCAGTTTCCTCATGATGTCCGTTTTAAGTGTCATAATGTGTTTATATCATAACTTCTATTATATTGTTAGAAAAGTTAATAATAATCACCAGTTTACCTTATCGGATTTTTTTTGATTTCGGGAAGGATCTTAAAATTCCCCTCAAAATAATTAACATCAAATAAGTTTACATAAATCTCTTCACACACACAAACCCTATATTATAAACTACCACACCTCCAGCGACTTGGAACCCTCTTTTGAGAAATCCTGTTGCACCACATTTGCATATATATTCATAATTTTGTAAAATAATGCATCCTTTATGCGTTTCTAAGTGCGCCCTATATTTGTACGAATAAAACAAGTTATTTCATTTGCATTTTCACGTTAACATCAATTATTAACGGTCAGATTATTCAGATATATTAAACGGTAGAGTCATTTATTTTTAAAACTTGTTCGATTGAATCATGAGAGAGAACAAGGCGTAGACGGATTGAACGTTTTATGAATGTGGAATTATGTAAAATACCGAGAAAAAGAGTTCTGTCATGCGGACAACCGCTAAAGGCATTAAAATACTTTTAGAAGAATACTTGGTTAATGGAACGCACCATTATTACTTTATCTACTCTAGTTTGACTCATATTATATACATACATAGTTTTTAACTTCAGCGTAGTAAAGTAAATAAAAATAACTCGGCTATTATAAACTTATTTCAAAAACGGTAAAGATAGTTATTTTTTATACAAGACGTTAAAATGGTATTTTATCGTTGACCGAAAAGATTAATTCACGAGCGATGAAATCGCGAGTGAATTAATTTCGGCAGACGATAATGCAATTTTATCGTTTAAAAAATATTCAGAAATTATTATTTCAAGGACTTTATTACGAGTTGAAAAAATATTGTGCTGGGTTGGCGTTGGTTTCTATGTAATTTGACAAATAAATAAAGCTGTCTCTTTAGTTGTCAGTTTTGAGTCAATATTTTTTAATTCTCTTTTTTTTAATTGCTTATTGAATTGGAGCCAGAAATGGCTCAAAACGAAATAAGTAAATTTCCAACAGATATTCAGGCTGAGGCGACAAACGCCATATCTAAACTACTTCCATTTAAATCCCGAATAACTTATGAAAAGGAATACAAAAATTTTCAAAAATGGAAGCAATTAAAAACGTGCGAGAAAAAATAAAGTGTTTAACCTTTCCATTTAATCTACCCTTGCTGTTAAAGTGCTATTTTATCTACTATTTTTGATAGATATAAGGCACTTTTAACAGTTGCTATGGAAAAAAATATATTCCATTTATCGAGATCTATCAACCCTGAAAATATTTGCATCTATTTAAGTTTCACCCTGTATGTTTATTTTAGCAATTTTTACTGTTCCTGCCTTTTCCTAATAAACTCCCTCTATTTCTCAATAAATAATCAATCACTTTCCCG